GAAGAGCGACACGACGTCCAACGAAAACATCTTTCTTCCGGTTAGGTTAAGATGTCTTATAGAGTCTAAGAAGCTGAAGGTATCAAGGAGACTATACATGGATAGGAATGTTCTCACTGGTTCTAAAAGATTGGCTAGCCACTTGGTTGTTAAGTGGTAAGGTGAGTTGCACATGTCCAATATGGGTCTAAGTGGAAGCCCCTCTTTATGTACCTTTAGTAGGCCGTAAAGTCTCGGAATCACCGCCCCCATGAGTCGAAGTTGTTCGAAGGTGGTAGAGTCAATCGAGTTTTCTTGTTTCAGGTGCCGCAGAAGACTAGTAACTGTATTTTCTATTGCCGCTGTTTTGTCCCTCCAATTTTCCATTTTAAGAAACTCTGCGCGGCCGTTGAGGATTACCTTAATAGAATCAGCTTTCTCCATCAGAACGATCCCTACTCCTTTATCCGGTCTAGAGTAGCACATTCTCGTTTTGTTTGAGTGCTTTGAGAGCGTTTAAATGGTATTTCTACACCAAATATCAGAGTTTGGGTTTGTGCTTCAGATACTGATAACATGTATTAGTCAGGATAATTAAAACGCTCGGACGCTAATGCTGACGAAAGCGCAAGTCTAGACACTTGAGCATACATATGTTTGAACTGAACCTCTAATTCTAGTTGTCCTGAATAACTACGGGGACAGCAGAACTTCGGACCAAGTGAAAGCACCTCTAACAGTGTCTTATCCAGGTGCAACGAGGAAAAAGTGTGAACGTACTTCTCCGGGTCGGGTGGAAACAAAATGCTTGCATTAGTGATGCCAACTGGTCGCTGTAATGACGCTAGACGTTTTTCCTCTTGTTTTGTAATTATTTGTTGAACAAACGTCTCGAATCGTTTGCGTTCATCTGTGTCCAGTTTGTCCAACATGACGGAATACGCGCACCAATTACGCTCCAGATTATCAAGTCTCGAAGTAATGGTGTCACGCTCGTTCAACATGTGTCGTTTCAAAGCCACATTAGTCGGATTAATCCGACTTCGTCGGAGTACTTTCCAAAATTGATTAGGATATTCGCGACGTAAAACACAATTATCAAAGAACCGTACCGATGCTCTCGCTACCGCAAGCCATGTGTAAAGTTTAACATACTGGTTAAGTGCTTTGAGCACAACGGGATCCTTGGACTGTTTCAAGTGAGCAAATATCACAGGTGTAGATATCAGACATCTATAGTACCATATTGATCAATTCACACTAGCTAGCCGGGATGGTCCCTTTCTTCCAGGCATGTAAGAAGAGGGACGTCAGCAATTTGCTTAGGATCGCACCGCCGTCCTTAGATAGTGCGAGTGCGAGCGAATCCGGAAAAGCAGCACGAAAATGATTGAGCGCCGTGATCGAGATTCGAAACTCAGGCTCTGATGGAGCAATTAAACTACCCGTTCATGGCTCAGCCTGCATCAGCTGAGTAGGAAAAGGTACGGAAGCAGGGGGCCAACTGAAATGATATTGAAAGTGCTCCGCCTAACGAGCCGTACGGCGCTCTTTATAGTAAATCAGTGCGCCCGGCTGTCTCCGATTGTCTCACTGACGCCTGGTTTCCTGGGACCATTGGTGTGGATGAGCCAGAACAGCTTGCGATAATTGCACACTGCGCGCCCCTTTCATCTCTGGGGCCATATTGCTCCACCAGGCTCCGCTTTAATTCACAAGCTGTAATTCAGGATGGAAGCACAAAATATGTAACTTATGGCAATGTGATCAATTTCGGTCCATCGCTGGTCAGCTACAGAGGGATGCCAAGTGACGCTTCGAAGTCCACTGTGTCTAAAGACGGCAAAGCTAAGAAACAGCTGGTGCTGCGCACACAGTTGCAACAGACGCTCACCGTTGTCAGTCCCTTCGCAGGTAAGCCCATAATTATCACCTAGCTGAGCTGCTGAAGAGCCCAGGCGACCTACTTGCGCATTCATATCTACTGCAAATACTATGATATATGAACTGGTAGAAGTGCGTGGTATCGTGTTCAGTTCGTGGCAGCAGCAGAACTGCAGTCGGTGTGAGCATAGGCGGAAACCACAAACAAACAGCGTACTGTACTACTTCGTGAATCAACCTTAGTTGATGTCGTCAAACGGGCTCCACACAAACGGCTGTTCACCAGAATCCAATCAACCAACGAGGACTCCGCTTTGGAGCTGAGAATGATACCCACCACAGCTTGCCCCGTGAGTGCTGCATCGGCGTATCCGGAGGCTTGCAACCAATAGCGAGGGGATAAGCCCGGCGCAGTTGATTCAACAACTCCGTGAGGTACATTGATTCTAGTTTCGGATACGCAAGACATAGCAATACCTAGTGGGTCCAACGAGTGCAACCTATTGACCTATTTGTCTTAGAGTGCGAACGTTGTGCGCCGCCAACGAAACCGAACGGCGTAGCCTCATAAAGGACTGTTGCATATAGGCGCCCAGTGGGTGCTGCTTATAGGTAGCTGCAGTTGTTTCGACTCCAATGGCATTACGGCTGCTGTCAATGTAGCTGGGAATTATAGAAGGAAGGATAGGATTGGGAGAATAAGAGAAACTGATGGAAAAGAAAGTAGTGAAGTGATATCAGTAGTATGCTTTCACTTATCCACCCTGCTGTATGTAGCAGATAAGGCGACCGTTAATAATCTACGCGACGACTGATACAGGATGTAGTTAACGTTTGAGGAAATTGTTATGGTTGTATGTGGGGCTGAGATGCTGTTGGGATGCCCAGACCCAGATAGGAGGACGATTATGGTCTTCAACTAAAGTCTTTAGCTCAAACACGCAAACCGTCGCACCAGGTTAAGGTCAAGTGTCGTTGCGACGGAACGCTAAGTGTACCTAAAATGAATGATGTAACCAGAAGAGCTGTTCGGTCTAGCACAATTCAACTGAAAGTTATTTTCTTAAAAGATGCTTTTTACCTGGTACTGGGACCATGATCAGTAGCTGAAGAGTGCGCAGTAAAATTGGGTTTTCATGAGATGGTGGTCAGAGTTTTACAACAGGTAGGTTAGGTCAGGACTTATGATATCTTGCAATCTCTTGACAATATGATGAAAGCGACTATGAATAACGTTGGGCTACCGGGCTTCCACGGAGTGGAAACCTTTCGGTAGACCAATTGGTGTACTTAAGACACACAGTCGATCTAGCCTTCCGTCAGTTGCAGGTACTATGCAGCAGCTGCTAAACAGGCAGAAAGGTAAAGTGGCAGGCTACAGCATGAGCTTATTGCAATCAAATTGAAATACGTTGCCTCGTGTTGGGACGATATGACACCGGTTATCGCAATGACAGAATGACAAGTAGAATAGGTCGATCGGCCCACTTGCCTTATCCCCGAAGAAAGGACTAACTGTGTGGTTTCTTAAAGCCTCTCGCATATAGAAGCCGGGAGTTTAGCAAATCGGTCAAGAGCCAGGTGCAGAACGCTGCAGTGCTTCCATTAATGTTTTCAGGACAAGAACAACCACTGCACACTGCCGATAGTAGTAGAGTGATGAGACCTGAAAACAGGTCCTTGCGTAACGTTAGTCAGATCCAGTGAGAGCTTCGAGTGAATAGTTCAGACGCATGTCATATGGTGCCACATTGGACCACTCTTAATACTCGAAACATTTACCCAGAATAAGCCATGTACTTCGAAAGACAGTCGACCGCATGTTCACATGCGTGAAGTGAAGTGGTAGGGAGGTCAACGGACTATATGATGAAAATGTGTGAAGAAACTAACGCGCAACTGACCGGGATTGTTAACCTTTCTGTATGAAGTGCTGCCATATCAATGATAAGATAGCATGTCCGACTCTTTGTTTTCCCACCGTTGTGCTTGAGTAGAATGATGATTGAAGAAACTGAACTCAGTAGCACTATAGATGCATGGGGATATAAATGATGACAGTCGTTACTAATGTGAACACTTCATCAGCATTCTTCCGTAGACCGTTCAAGAGGGATGAGCAATCCACCTAGACGCTTTGAAGCCACGCGACCACCATCAGTCGAAGGCATATTTCAAGCTCACCCACACCCACGCAGATCCGAACCAGTGACTTATGGACTACGAGGCAGATGTATGCTAGCAAATAACCATCGGCTTTAGACTCCAAAGGAAGAGACCAATGTGGTTTTACGACCAGAGCAGCACTAAGGGGTCCCTGTAGCCTACTCTGCAGACCGGTACAGGCACCGGTGTGAATCGGCACAAGGATTTGAAAACTGAATCAGCTGTACGAGATTTTCATTTCTCTGTGACTTCGGCAGGACTCAAACCATCTCGCAATGACTTCCAACATAGCAAGAACATGAGGCCAGTGATCCCCCATCAGATCTGTACAAACACATAGGGAAAATAGCAGTGCGGTACAATTGATCGGATAAACTTAAATGAAACCAAGTACGCGTCCGACGCGTGACTGGTTTCATTTAAAATAAACCGATTAATTTAGTGATCAGATCAATTGTGCTTCCACTACGCCAATGACTTCGATAGCAAAGGAGAATGGCTATGCAAATCGCACTGAATCCTGCGCCATAAATATAGTTCGAGTGTCAAATTCTCGTCTATTAAAACTCTGAAAATTGGAAATGATATAGAAAGAATATTCCGTCAAACTAAAAATATCTCGAGGTGCCACTAAATCGATTTCAAACGGTTAGAACGCGTGCAAACTATGTTCGAAAGTGTGCCACATGGTTACCTTGTATTGCATTCGCAACGATTCTTATCTGTAACAGGTTGGAAAACGATCAAGAAAATGAGAATAATTCCACGCACAAAACGTTTGCTGACGGCTAGTGAATTGAAACAAGTATCAAAATATAGGACAGATGGAAAAACTGAGGAAAACCAAAAGTAAGTGTTATGTTACCAGCTGCCAGTTAAGAAAGATGTACGAACGTAGGATAAGCTGGAAGAAAAAACCAGACTTTACTAAGTCTGATCCAAACAAGAGTACATTTGTTCAAAAGACTCACTAAAGTAAAACTTGGAGTTTGAACATTCCGCCAAGTGAAGCTGGCAACAGTAATCTCAGGAATGAGCTCCTCTGAATGATCGTTGATTATTTTATGGTGCAAGAGACAAGAGTAGTGAGAATGTCCGGACAGCACCAAACGTGGTCTCAGCTGCCTAAGAAGCTGAAAAGAGGAAGGAATGTAATTGATCGAAGGGACACATTACATGTTTTTACGAATAAAAATTATAGCGAAGCGCGAGATGGTGAATGCATCGGATACGAAGTAACAAAAATGTCACAAGCTACGTACATGTGCGAAAAATGACACACTGTTTCGCAATGCGTGAAAGTAGTTGGAAATTCAATAAAAGCAGTAGAGATAGCGTGGAAGTTGACGATCGTCGTTTAAATTGTAAAAGTGAGAAGAAAAACAAACAAGTGATAGCATTAGCGAACGTCAGTTTACCTACGATGACAAATGAAATACCAAGCTAATAAGTCGGGTAGCTAGAATGTTGGACAAAGGATAACTAAAGTGGCGACCGCATTTGGCACTGTGTACAATACAGACCCGCTTTGCGTTTACTGCGCGCAAGGTGTACGTCGGGCACCCGATTCGTGTGCCGGCCGGTGGCCGAAAAGATCACACGCTTGCTTTGTAATCCAGAGGTCGCGGGTTCGAGCCTGTGTACGTGATCCGGGCGACCCAAGCAGTATCCCTAGTGCACGCACCACTGAGGGTGGTTGCGTGGCAGCCGTATTGTGTAACAGCGTACTGCTGATGCCACTTTAATCAAGCTAATACGTAAAAACCTATAGCCGTCGATAGTAGAGAGGGGAAGTCGGTGACAGTCTAGTAACATGAAGCATAACAGGCTTAGATGTGACAGTGTAAGAATTTCGGCAAATCCAAAATGGGAACTATCTAAGAGAGCAGTTCGCGCTCACTCAAGAATGGACCTCAATAAAGGAATGGTAAATTAACATAGGAAATATCATACTTGCATCAACAGAGCCCCACCAATCTCCATCCAAAGGCATTTAGGTAATAAGAATAATGTCCGATTAATCGTTAAAGCCAAGTTGTCCGCTTTGGCAACAGAATTAATCTGAAGGGCAAAGGAGTTGCGCTGAGGGGCATACAAGTGCAGCCTTTACTCAATTACTTTGAGGATTGCGTGCACCGCTCACTTGTGCTGGTGTGCAGGTGTGCGTGTATAGCTCGGCGCCTTCAGTAAATAGGACCTCAGACGCACTGTCATAGGGGTGAAGGTGAGAGGCTTCAGCTCCTACTAGGTACAGTGTTGGTGGTCGATGCACCATGTGGTCCTGCGTTTCTGTCCAAGAAAGCGATTCAAAGCAATTAGAACGAAATTAGAGATTTGAACGACGATTGGGTTGGTATAACGAGCCACAGCCAAATAAGTGTGCCGTGTGATTATCAACGTGCAGTTCACCTTAACGCAATGGTTGGCTTGTATGTTCGGCACTCGATGGAGGTGAAGAATATCATACTGAAGCGTACAAGGAAGGAGACGAATGGAAGCAGATCGCTTGCACACTGAATGTGAGTGTGAAAACGTGTCGCAACTGGGTACGGGCGAAGGAATCGACGGAACCGCTGTGGCAGCACGGGGGAGTCCGTCGCAGAGCACTGGGAAAAAGCCACATCGACTCTCTGGTGGAGTGGGTTTCTGCGGAGCCTACCGTTACCTTTGAACTCCTTCGATTGCTGTTGAAAACGGAGTTCGAAATTTAAGTAAGTACCAGCACCGTCTCATGACACTTGGATGGTAAACTGATAACAATGAAGAAAATGCATACCATTCCGGAGTCCATGAACACGCTGGAGAACAAAAAGCGACGCAGGTCATTCGTTCTGAAGCTCATGGATCACGAGTTGGAAGGAAGGCAACCGGTGTGAATTGATGAGACTAATTTCAACTTCTTTTGCTCCCGCAAAGGCGGCCGCTCACGACGTGGTAGTCAAGCGCAGTGCACAGTGGTGAACAGCCGGGGACCGAATGTTCGTCTTGTCAGCGCCATGACAAACAACGGCTTGATAGCGTGTTCGGTTCTGAGTGGAAGTTACAGTAAACAAAGGTGCGCTGCGACAAGTGCTTGGTACCAATGGAGCAGGGTTTGTGGAAAGGAATCTTTTGATTTGTGACAAGGCGTTCTGTCACACGCACCTGGAGCACGTTTTCCTAGAGGAACTGTACCGCTCTGGGAGACTTCTACGCCTTGCGCCATATTCTCCAGCTCTCAATCCCATCGAGAGCATCTGGAGAATAATAAAGACTCATGTAAAACCGGCAAGGAGGGGACGGTACTCTGAGATGCTCCTGGGAGATCCTGAAAGTGTACTGAATATAAGCGAGTGGCGGATTCGCTTTTTGGAGCACACAGTGTCTGAACCACGGGACGCAGCAGCCCTTCGAACAAATGGTTCAGCAAGTCAGTAAGAAGTATGAACATGCTGTTCATTTGGCCGATCTGTAAAACATTCAGTTGGCGGTATACTGCCTGTTCTAAGCGACTGTTGTCATTACTTTATTATGATGACGGGTCAGTCCACTTTATACTCTGCTAGAAATAGCCAGTTCTCCATTCGGGGGAACATCACGGATTTCCAGTAATTTGGTGCGTGGTCGCGTCGCATACCTGCTTCACTTGGCACGTTGTAGAACAATCAGGTGAGAGCTTGACAAACAGTTACCACTCTAACACGGTTGTGGCAAGCAATTATATGCCACCGCCTGTCGTTGTTTGTATTTGGAGAGCCCGTGGAAAAGAACTTTGATAAGGGCACAAAAAAAGAAAATTGAGCTGTGCAGACTTGACAGGCAAGGGTAATGTGTGGCCGTTTGCTAGAATGCTTAACCCGTCACATCAACACAGCTTGCTTACTGTGCAAGGATGATCAATGCGGAAACGTAGGGCATGTAGGGGAAGCCAAACTAACCTTTATCATGCTCTCTAGGGAAACATTTCCAGATGGGTATTTGTCAGTTGTGGACTGTAATCAAACACACCACAGGATTGCGGTGAGAAGGTGCTTTGAAGCCTTAAATGAAATGCACTCGCTTCGGCGAATCACATTTACTCCTCAGGTTTTAGCGTCTGCACAGGGATGAGTGGCTCCGCATGACGCAAACCGGTCCGTGCGTTCATATGGCATTTTCTATTTGCAAGTGGAGGCACTATGAATGCAAGATCGGCCTCAGTATGGGGCACATATGGTTGGCAGCATCCGGTTTCGGATTTGTCTCTCACTGTGGCCAGCCACAGAACGCCTACGACTACAGAGGGACCATGGGTGGCTTACGCTGCACCACCTACAGTTCCAACCACACACCCCATTTCCAGTGTAAACCCGAAGGAATAAGACCGGGAGGCATGTGGATGGGAACCACGTTTCATCAACGGAGCCGGCTCACACACCTTCACAGGCAAACACAAGCACGCTGTATTTGGAGAATCAAACGTACACGAGGCGGTGGCTGGACCGTAGTCCGCTCCACACTGAGTGCATGGAACCACTCTTTGATCCTAACACGGCCAGAAGAATCGTGCACCCCGTCCCCTCCAGCAATAACCAACTGTCTCCTGGAGCCAGTATGGACGAACTAGTGGGTAATAGACTGGTGGGCACCTTGTCCATATGCGCATCAAGCGCAGCCACACCGGGGATATCAAGCAACAGCCAATCATTTGAAACGAAAAGATGAATTAAAATAAATGCAATAATGCATACAGATACGGTGGCATTACTTTTCGCTAAATTACCATACGAAGTAAGTTGGCTAGTAACGAGTCCGCGATAAGTAAAAAGAGTCCACAAGTTATTTTAAAATGTTACAAACACAACAAAGTTGCCGAAGATAAGCGCAATCAGCGTAAGCAACGTGGTCAGTTAATACAGTTATTCAGGTAGGCAGAACAAACCAAACAAAGTGGAATGAAATTTATCCAGCTTAAAAGGACCTAGTTAAGTGTAAGTTGGTTTAGCTCAACTGCGGTGAAGAAGCATAAAGAGTGCAACATCAGCCACAGCATGGGGCATATATATATATATATATATATATATATATATATATATATATATCGCGTGTTATTTTTTATATAACTTTCGGACATCTTGTACTTATCACTTAATCACATTTAAGCAATTTCTTCCATATGCTCATTTAGCGAGTATTTGTGTCGTCATATTCGTTTACTTTATTCGATATCCGCATTTCGAATGATTCGCTGTTGTTTGAAATCCCAGTTGTGGCTGCGCTTGATGTGCATGTTGACAAGGTGCCTACCTGTCTATTACCCACTACCTCGTCCATCTGGCTCCAGGAGACAGTTGGTCGTTGCCGGAGGGGACGGGGTGCACGGTTCTTGTGGTCGTGCTAGGCTCGAAGAGTGGTTCCATGCATTCAGTGTGGAGCGGACTACGGTCCAGCCACCGCCTTGTGTGCCCTTGATTCCCCAAATACAGCGTGCTTGTGTTTGCCTGTGAAGGAGTGTGAGCCGGCTCCGTTGATGAAACGTGGCTCCCATCCGCATGCCTCCCCGCCTTATTCCTTAGGGTTTACACTGGAAATGGAGTGTGTGGTTGGAACTGTGGGTGGTGCAGCGTAAGCCACCCATGGTCCCTCTGTAGTCGCAGGCGTCCTGTGGCTGGCCACAGTGACAGACAAATCCGAAACCGGATGCCAACAACCATATATATATATATATATATATATATATATATACCATTTTCCCTTTAAATTGGACATTTTGCAAACCACATTGGACATTTTGCAAACCGGGTTTAGCATGTACGAGTAGGGCGGCAAGAACTGCAGGTGATAAGACGAACCAAGGATCCTCCTTAGCTCATCAGGCACATGAATCCTGGCATTGTCCATGATCAGCCACCCGCCGTTCATCTCCACTATGCAGCTTATACGCGCCACCAGTTCCTCGACGAACGCTGAGAACTTCGCACCATTGCAGGTGCCATCGTTAATGATCTTTGAATGGATGACGCCTTGGTTATTCATTACAACAATCAGGGTTACCATGCGACCTCTGACTGTGGGTAACACGACGTTCGCGCGCGTCCCTCTTCTTGAGCGAGCCTGAGTTCGCCTCAGATGAAGGTTGAAACCACTCTCATCTATGAAGATGCATTTCTCCTTG